CCATAGCGGCGGCGCAAGCAGATAAACCCGCGTCGCGCATACACGGAGGGGCAGTACACCTAACTTCACATTTGCGCCCAAGCTACGAAGCAATCACCCATAGCGGCGGCGCAAGCAGATAAACCCGCGTTGCGCATACACGGAGGGGCAGTACACCTAACTTCACATTTGCGCCCAAGCTACGAAGCAATCACCCATAGCGGCGGCGCAAGCAGATAAACCCGCGTCGCGCATACACGGAGGGGCAGTACACCCAACTTCACATTTGCGCCCAAGCTACGAAGCAATCACCCATAGCGGCGGCGCAAGCAGATAAACCCGCGTCGCGCATACACGGAGGGGCAGTACACCTAACTTCACATTTGCGCCCAAGCTACGAAGCAATCACCCATAGCGGCGGCACAAGAAGATAAACCCGCGTCGCGGATACACGGAGGGGCATTACACCCAACTTCACATTTGCGCCCAAGTTACGAAGCAATCACTCATAGCGGCGGCGCAAGCAGATAAACCCGCGTCGCGCATACACGGAGGGGCAGTACACCTAACTTCACATTTGCGCCCAAGTTACGAAGCAATCACCCATAGCGGCGGCGCAAGCAGATAAACCCGCGTCGCGCATACACGGAGGGGCAGTACACCTAACTTCACATTTGCGCCCAAGTTACGAAGCAATCACCCATAGCGGCGGCGCAAGCAGATAAACCCGCGTCGCGCATACACGGAGGGGCAGTACACCCAACTTCACATTTGCGCCCAAGCTACGAAGCAATCACCCATAGCGGCGGCGCAAGCAGATAAACCCGCGTCGCGCATACACGGAGGGGCAGTACACCTAACTTCACATTTGCGCCCAAGCTACGAAGCAATCACCCATAGCGGCGGCACAAGAAGATAAACCCGCGTCGCGGATACACGGAGGGGCATTACACCCAACTTCACATTTGCGCCCAAGTTACGAAGCAATCACTCATAGCGGCGGCGCAAGCAGATAAACCCGCGTCGCGCATACACGGAGGGGCAGTACACCTAACTTCACATTTGCGCCCAAGTTACGAAGCAATCACCCATAGCGGCGGCGCAAGCAGATAAACCCGCGTCGCGCATACACAGAGGGGCAGGACACCCAACTTCACATTTGCGCCCAAGTTACGAAGCAATCACCCATAGCGGCGGCGCAAGAAGATAAACCCGCGTCGCGCATACACGGAGGGGCAGTGCACCCAACTTCACATTTGCGCCCAAGCTGCGAAGCAATCACCCATAGCGGCGGCGCAAGCAGATAAACCCGCGTCGCGCATACACGGAGGGGCAGTACACCTAACTTCACATTTGCGCCCAAGCTACGAAGCAATCACCCATAGCGGCGGCACAAGAAGATAAACCCGCGTCGCGCATACACGGAGGGGCAGTACACCCAACTTCACATTTGCGCCCAAGTTACGAAGCAATCACTCATAGCGGCGGCGCAAGCAGATAAACCCGCGTCGCGCATACACGGAGGAGCAGTACACCCAACTTCACATTTGCGCCCAAGCTACGAAGCAATCACCCATAGCGGCGGCGCAAGCAGATAAACCCGCGTCGCGCATACACGGAGGGGCAGTACACCTGACTTCACATTTGCGCCCAAGGTACGAAGCAATCACCCATAGCGGCGGCGCAAGCAGATAAACCCGCGTCGCGCATACACGGAGGGGCAGTACACCCAACTTCACATTTGCGCCCAAGCTACGAAGCAATCACCCATAGCGGCGGCGCAAGCAGATAAACCCGCGTCGCGCATACACGGAGGAGCAGTACACCCAACTTCACATTTGCGCCCAAGCTACGAAGCAATCACCCATAGCGGCGGCGCAAGCAGATAAACCCGCGTCGCGCATACACGGAGGGGCAGTACACCCAACTTCACATTTGCGCCCAAGTTACGAAGCAATCACTCATAGCGGCGGCGCAAGCAGATAAACCCGCGTCGCGCATACACGGAGGAGCAGTACACCCAACTTCACATTTGCGCCCAAGTTACGAAGCAATCACTCATAGCGGCGGCGCAAGCAGATGAACCCGCGTCGCGCATACACGGAGGAGCAGTACACCCAACTTCACATTTGCGCCCAAGCTACGAAGCAATCACCCATAGCGGCGGCGCAAGCAGATAAACCCGCGTCGCGCATACACAGAGGGGCAGGACACCCAACTTCACATTTGCGCCCAAGTTACGAAGCAATCACCCATAGCGGCGGCGCAAGCAGATAAACCCGCGTCGCGGATACACGGAGGGGCATTACACCCAACTTCACATTTGCGCCCAAGTTACGAAGCAATCACTCATAGCGGCGGCGCAAGCAGATGAACCCGCGTCGCGCATACACGGAGGAGCAGTACACCCAACTTCACATTTGCGCCCAAGTTACGAAGCAATCACCCATAGCGGCGGCGCAAGCAGATAAACCCGCGTCGCGCATACACAGAGGGGCAGGACACCCAACTTCACATTTGCGCCCAAGTTACGAAGCAATCACCCATAGCGGCGGCGCAAGAAGATAAACCCGCGTCGCGCATACACGGAGGGGCAGTGCACCCAACTTCACATTTGCGCCCAAGCTGCGAAGCAATCACCCATAGCGGCGGCGCAAGCAGATAAACCCGCGTCGCGCATACACGGAGGGGCAGTACACCCAACTTCACATTTGCGCCCAAGCTACGAAGCAATCACCCATAGCGGCGGCACAAGAAGATAAACCCGCGTCGCGCATACACGGAGGGGCAGTACACCCAACTTCACATTTGCGCCCAAGTTACGAAGCAATCACTCATAGCGGCGGCGCAAGCAGATAAACCCGCGTCGCGCATACACGGAGGAGCAGTACACCCAACTTCACATTTGCGCCCAAGCTACGAAGCAATCACCCATAGCGGCGGCGCAAGCAGATAAACCCGCGTCGCGCATACACGGAGGGGCAGTACACCTGACTTCACATTTGCGCCCAAGGTACGAAGCAATCACCCATAGCGGCGGCGCAAGCAGATAAACCCGCGTCGCGCATACACGGAGGGGCAGTACACCCAACTTCACATTTGCGCCCAAGCTACGAAGCAATCACCCATAGCGGCGGCGCAAGCAGATAAACCCGCGTCGCGCATACACGGAGGAGCAGTACACCCAACTTCACATTTGCGCCCAAGCTACGAAGCAATCACCCATAGCGGCGGCGCAAGCAGATAAACCCGCGTCGCGCATACACGGAGGGGCAGTACACCCAACTTCACATTTGCGCCCAAGTTACGAAGCAATCACTCATAGCGGCGGCGCAAGCAGATAAACCCGCGTCGCGCATACACGGAGGAGCAGTACACCCAACTTCACATTTGCGCCCAAGTTACGAAGCAATCACTCATAGCGGCGGCGCAAGCAGATGAACCCGCGTCGCGCATACACGGAGGAGCAGTACACCCAACTTCACATTTGCGCCCAAGCTACGAAGCAATTTTCGGCTGCAGTTGAGCTAGTTCGTACATGGTTAATGATTAAAGAGAGACAGGGCAACACACTCGCACGAAGCTGCGATGATGCTTGGGAAATAACTTGTACATTAGACGATTACATAGAGACATAAGATTAAACGATTACACAGAGACGAGGCAATCACTCAATTTCTAAGTGGCGTGCTGAAGTCGCGCTGACGTCAATAATTGCGTCGTAAACCATTCATAAAATAAAGTCCTTATTCAACATTTGCGTCGTCGCACTCACAGTGACCTGTGTCGTAAATCTCATAACGAATGCTATCGTAATTCATAAACAACCAACATTAGTGGTTTCTGTAGGAAATAGTTCTTTCTGCATGTCAGTTATATGTACAACAAGAGCGTATGTCAAATAAACAATTTCTTTAGCAGTTCGACTAAACTCGCCAATCGTGATCTTCATTCTTCCTTTGGATAAATAGGGTGTCACCTTTGTACAATATAATACGTTAACGGATTACTAATCATTGAGTCAATAAAACGACGGCAAGAATTTAGCCTGACTGGATGGCGGCGGGTAATTTTCTTTTTATTACTAAACATGCATGAAAAATTAAACGCTGGTAACGAAAACATAACGGCGCGGTAATAATATATAATCCTAAAGCGGTAGATTATAAAATCGAACGACAATACATATATTTCGTGGAACACGTTAGCCGCAAGTACTTAATTATGGTGCGTGCTGCTAATAATGTGTCCTACAGCACACAAAAAAAGCCTGCATTTACCTGCGTGCCGTTTTATCGTGTGCTGTTTTGTCACGTGCTCTTCTGTAGCTCTACTGTTTTGACGCGTGCTGATTGGATGCGTGCAGTATTGTCGCTGTGCGGTTTTGACGTGGTGCTGTTTTGACGCTGTGCTGTTTTGTCGTGTGCAGTTGCGGCGCGGTGCAATAGCCTTTGTACCCTTTATATTTTTTAACTTCCTTTAAACCTTGATATTTTCGCTAGGGCATATAAAATTTTGTTTCTTAACTTCTCAGTATATTTCATTAAAGCTAAAGCCATTGTACAAATGAAGGGTGACGAAAATAATCCCTGGAGAAGGGGGACAAAGAACAAACAGGAATTTAAAACAGATTTATGTTTGTACTTTGTGATCGTTGTTCCCCTTCTCCGGAGATTATTTTCATCATTCTTCTTCAGCGCGCTTGCACCTTTGCATTTAATTGCATTATCATCTAACGAAGGGTATACCTAAACAAAAATACGACACAAAGGAAGGTCTTTAAAAAGTTAGCTTACTTATATCTGTTATTCAGTCACTTGCAAGATATATTGACCAACGCCATAGAACTTTGAACGATACGGCGTTGGTTCAAAACACGTAGCGAGCACCAGCTATTTTTTTAATTCTGCGCCGTTTGACAGAAATACGCTCTATGTCTCTACCATCGATGCCAGTAAGGAAATGTTACTTGTTTTTTTATAAAGAGTGATTCATGACGCTTTGTAACTTCCGTTCTTCAGAAGGAACCCGTAGAGAAATGCCTGCATATCTGCAACAAAACTCATTCAGTTGGAAAGTATGGACTTTTTTTGGGAATATACCTGGATCATAATCCCTGCAAGGTGAGTAATATTAAGCGCACACCCGTTAGGGTGCAGTCGAATCGTCCCAAATGTATGATAGGTGTGGTTTACAGCACAATTTGTAAAATAGAGGAAAACGCATAACTGAGTAGAAATCGTAAAGGATGAAGAAAGAAATGATTCAAAAACGCACCCAGATGGGATTGACACCGACGACCCCACAATTATGAGACCGACACTCTACTGCTAAATCAAGTAACTTTTTTTTTTGTTTTGTTTTTTCTTTTTTTTTTGTTTCAAAAAAGTGTTTATTTTTTTTTCTTAATAATCGGCACGCTACAGGTTAGGCAAGAATGTCGGCGCAAGAGAGGCGGTCGTGAATGCGAACGTGGAGTGTTGGGCACCGGCGATCGACATTTGATCGGGTTCAAACAGTAAAATAAAGGCAGCTAGCATTCCGTTCTTTTTATTTTATTATTTATTGCCAAAATGTTGTTCGTGCACAAAAACTCGTGCAGGCAAAGATTTTGCCAACGCACCAGCGGACCTACGGCCAACACTGATTGACTCAATATATCTTAAATCAAATCGTCTGTTGAGGGCAGGGCACCAATCTGTGACATCTCCCAGAGCCTGATACACCACTCAGATTCGTATGATTCTCCGAAAAACGTACCCGCTTACAGCTTGTACCTTTAAATCGGCATCTGCACTATCATATGCGGCTCTTACAGGTACTTTGTAATCCGAACCAAAATAAATAAATCATATTTCACAGAGTCTGTTGATACAACCGGCAGGAAACTCATCCGAGGATGAAATATTAAAAAATCCCTTTTCAGAGTACGCTGTAGTACATCCCAGTAAATGACAGCGTCCCAACAATCTAAGTACTTGCTTTACGTCTATGCACTTATCATTTCCACCGAATATTTGTGCTTCTAAAGTCCCGGTATGCTCTCATATCTTCCTCCCCTTCAGTTTTAACTCGTATAAACCAAAAAAAAAAACAGCTGCAAAGTTCGCCACAAACTAAAGGAATGCCGCGAAAACACATTCTGTGTATACCGAAATTGTCCGTAAGATCAAGATAGTTTCCTCAGGATGAACCACAGAAGTTATTGTTTTTTACTCTCAATATGGCAGAGCCCGGAAGCTATGCTAGAGTTGCTGAGAAACATGGGGACCATTGGAAGTCGGCGACGAATAGGAAGGGTTGTTTCTTCGGTGTCGGTTAACCTCTCAAACTTTGAGAGAGCAATTGTTGAGTGATCAGGAACGTTTGGTTATATTTTGCATTTCATCTTACTCTTCGTCTACCAAAATGTATTAAAAATATTAAAAAAAGTTTAAGACATTTTAAGTAAAATACTTCTGAAAGAACACATTAAACTAAAAGTGACGCTTCGTCTTCACGCAAAGAAAAACAAATAAACGTACGCAGCAGAAAAAAAAAAACTAGAAGCCAATCAGCAAGCAGAAAGGAGAAAGCTTACTCGCCTAAGCCCGTGATCGACGTTATTATTTAGAGGAGAAAAAAGCTAAGAACTCTTCCTTTTGGAGTCACCTAAAAAAGCAATGAGTGCACCATTTTCCATCTGCGTCATTTTTTCGGGAGGAATTTTCGAAACTTGCGAAACTCGCATTTCGAATTTTTTGTTTCTTTACGCCGTTCTGAAATTTAAAATTTTCGAACGACTGCTAGGGATACTTTACTTGTGTTTGTAACAATAACAAATGTTGTCAGTGTCCCTTTCAGGGTTTTGTGAAGTTGCCTATTTGTAGGGGAGATTCCTGAAAAGTTTTAGGCGAACCACATCTACACACAAACTCTTGGTTGACAGAACTTCGATCATACCATGTTCAAACCTCACCGGTGAAAGAATAATATTTCAGGCAATCAAAGCCTCCTTCAAGTGCCCTCGAACCTATCGAAAACTCCCGATATAAAGTCTTATTCAAGAGTTTTATTCTAACTGATTCAGAAAACTTTTTTCACACTTTAATTGTCAGAAAATAAATACGTTGTGTGGTTTGAATATGGGGAATTCATAAACTAACGAATACTTGTTTTAAAGTGACAACTGTTGACACATATAGAGAAAGGCCTAGATAGTTAAAAGTCAAGGCTGCATTAACGCTTGTATCAAAGCCGTCTCAGTGTTGAATTAGCATTTGCGAGCAAATAGAGGTAGAATTTTTGCAGTCTGATGCCTTTGCAGAGCTAAAATAACGCATAACTGAACGTTTTTGCTCTGGTTTATAAACTGACAACGAGTAGAACCCTAATCAGTCTATTTGCATACTCATAACATTAAAAAAATAAAACCGTAAACTCTTCTTTCGTTCCAGTTCAAAACTGGGCCCGGCCGGTGCAGAAGTGGACTGTGTATTGATGAAAAAATTGGCCAGTTGTATCCCATCGAAAATTGAGACTTAAATCTCCACTCAGAAACAATCAATAAAAACAAGTCGTTCTGAAGTGATTTTGTTGTTTCAAAGCAACAGAGTTTTAAACGTCCACATACTGTAACTCCTTGCGAATAACTAACTCGATGTCCTGCTTATTTCTGCGGTTCAAGATATATCGCATTTTAAAACAAGAATGTATGTGGAAGATCAATCACTATAAGTACGTTATAACACTGCTCACCGCCGTTAGAAACAATAGGTCAGGCGTTCACTAAAGATTTTATTCACAATTTAGCGACTCTTTCAACTTCTTATTAAGTCACGTAGTACCTACATTTTAAAACATTTTTTTTTATTTTTTCATTCAACCAAACACTACAAATTTGAAGGGCGGGGTTACAATCATGCCACTCATTTATTCTACAATATTTATATAATTCAAAATCGTAGGCGTTTGTAACTACGCCGGCGGGTGCTGGAGTTTGTTGAACCAGTAGCTGGATCCGCGAACTGCATTTCACACCAGCTTGTCTTTTTCTCCGGCGCCTTGTTGCCAGTCGCTACAAGGTTCCCCCCTTAGCGAGGAGGTCGGTGAGACGAGTGGTGTTGACGGTGTTGTAGCAAAGGCATTTCCTGAAATGTCTTTTAGAAAGGTGTTGGGTAGATGTGCTGGCTTGATTCGGTTAAGCTATACGACTTCCTTGCGAACTCTGACGGCTAGGGTGAATGTCTTTTCATTACGTTCAAGTGCCGCATAAGGTCCATCGTGGAGGCGTAGTAGTGAACGTTTGACGGTGTAGCTTCGCACGAACAGATGACTACAACGCTCGAGGTCACGGCTTACGAAGACCTTGCGTGATTTTATTCTGGGTGTGGTTGGTCGCAGATTTTGTAGAAGTAACCTTAATTTGTTTGTTTAGCTTTCGCAGTCCATGTCGCTTGCGTTTTCGGTACTGTGAACGAATTCGCCGGGCAATCGAAGGTTAGAGCCGTAAACCAATTCCGCGGCGCTGCATTTCAGTTCGTCACGCAAAGGGGTGCGGATGCCCAACAGCACTGGTAGTAGGACTTCGGATCAGTAGCTTGATGAGCCGTGCGCTCGAATGGCAGCATTTATTCTTTGGTGGAATCGCTCCACGAGATTATTGAATGAAGGATGGTATGCCACTGTTTTGATGGGGTGCTTACCGAGAAGGCCTGACAACTTGCGAAATGGATGACTTTCAAATTGTCTCCCTCGGTCTGTTGTTATTGTGGTTGGTACTCCGAAACGGCTGATCTACATGGAGATGAAGGTCTGTGCGACTGTTTCTGTGGTCATATCCTTCATCGCAATTGCCTCTGGCGAGCGGGTGAAGTGGTCTACGCATATGAGGATGTAACGGTAGTTTTGAAATGGAGGTAATGATCCGAAGATGTCGAGGTGGACGTTGCTGAATCAAGCCTCGGGTAGCTGGAAGGTGCCTTTGGGTGTGACAGTGTGGCGGTGGATCTTGGCTCGTTGACAGTGCTGACACGTTCGTGTGAAGTATGCAGTATCCGTTTTCATCCTCGGCCAGACGTAGCGAGCAGAGACTAGCCGTTGTGACGCTCGTGTAACAGGGTGGGAGAGCGAGTGGAGGCATCAAAAACGGCTTGTCGGAACTGTGTGGCACGATATATGGTTGAGGGCGGCCGATAGAAGTGTCGCAAACAAGTGTTTTGTCGCATTCAGAAATTGTCATGTCTTCCATGTCCAGCGCTGTAGAGGAGGAGCGAAGATGTTGTAGTTCCTGGTCAAGTTGTTGCGCAGCAGCCAGTTCCTGAAAGTTGATGATCGGCTGAGAGTTGTTGACGTTGTTGAGACCAATTCCAGATAGAGCGTCAGCTACGGTATTTTTTTTTTACCTTTTATGAAACGATTACCGCTGGTGTATTCCGCAATGTAGGCCGTCTGTGGCATTTCCCTTGGTGTTTATGAGGAACTGTCTGATGTAAGGGCGTACGTTAGGGGCTTACTTATGGTCAGTCATGATTTGAAATTGACGTCCGTCTAGAAAATGGCGGAAGCGTTTCACACCAAGGTAAACGGCTAGAAGCTCGTGCCCGAACGTACTGTAACACGATTTGGTTAGCGTCATTTGTTTTGAAAAGAATAAAAGGGGTTCCCAACCGGATTTGGTAAACTGCTGGAGTACTGCTTCCTCTGCATTATCAGAGGCATCAGTAACACGGGAGAGCGGTGCGTCAGGTCTCGGATGGGTCAACGTCCTAACATCGGGAGGCTTGTGCTTGATTGCTTAAACCGATTCAGCTGCAGCTTCGTTCCACTAGAGTGGTATGGATTGCTTGGGATTTCCTGTGAGGAATCGGTTGAGTGGCTGGAGGATGACTGCACAGTTTGGAATGAATCTCCTGTAGAAGTTGACTAGCCTTTGCAATTCGCGAAGTTTCTTTGTTGTTTGTGGCTGCATAAATTCTAGGATGACGTTCACTTTGTCCTGTAGAGGACGGATACTATGATCGTCTACGCGATGGCCCAAGAAATCCAAGTCGACAACGCCGAATTCGAACTTATCGTTCAGGACGACGCCTTATCCCTGGAGGCGGAAGAACAGCTGGCGAAGATGGAGTTTATGTTGTTCGTAATTTTTATTCTAGGCTAAGATGTCATCCATATAGGTGAAACAGAAGGTTAACTCATGTGTGACTTGCTTCATAGAAGGCTGGAACATTTGCACTGCATTTCGCAGGCCAAATGGTATGCGCACGTACTCAAACATACTGAAAGGTGTGGTTATGGCGGTTTTATGAATGTCAGATGGGTCGACTGGGACCTGATCAAACGCCTTCACAAGTTCTATCTTTGTGAAGATTTTCGACGCGTGCAGCATTCCAGCGAAGTCTTCAATGGGGGGGATTGGGCGCTGATCGGGTATAGTGACCTTATTGAAGGCTTTGAATCCCCACACGGTCTCCAGTCGCCAGACTTCTTAGGTGCCATGTGCAGAACATTGGACCACAAGCTGGATGACGGACGGATAAATCCGAGTTCCAGCATGTGCTCGAATTTGTCTTTGAAATATTGAGCTTGTCCGGGTGAGTCGTCGCGGCTTGGCAAAAACTGGAGATCTGTGGGTACCAATGCAGTGAGTAATGGTGTGCTTTACTGGTACCGTGGTGTTGCATGGCTGCGTTAACGTTGGTAATTCCTTTAGGATGTTTCGCCACGCAACAGCAGTCTGCAGAGTCTGCAAGGTAGTGCTGATTGATGGTGTCTTAGACAGCACTCCTTGTATGCTGATGTGCGTTCCCTATTGAAAGAGGCCAATATGAACCCGGCTCATTCGAAATATTGTATTTCATTGAAGTTGGTGGAAACCAATAAAAACTTATTGTTATCCGATTAACCCAATACGCGCGATGTGAATTCATATTGGAGCACAATATCCCGATATAATTTATATAATATGTTGTTATTTGTATACAACAGCATATTGGAGCAAAATATCTCGATATAATTTGAGGTAATTGGTATACAACACGATATCGGAGCACAATATCCCGATAGAAGTTACGGTTATTGGAATAGAATATGACATTGCGTGCATATTGGTGACCGACATGGACATACTGTACGGCCACACGGTATATAAATATTGGTCGTCGATCACGGGCCCAAAGGAGAATACAATGATATCCCGTGCATATGAATTACGTCGGCATATACCGCGGAATAAGAAGAAACGTAACACAATATTGATTGTCCGTGAAGCAACGTGGATATCGGTATGCCCACATATACGACATCGCGTGAATTATATCGTAAAACAGCAGGAGTTACCATACGGCAATACGAGAGAGATCGATATTAGAGGTGGATATACACACAGCGCACACATGTTCCGCGTTGCGAACACAATAACATTGATCGAAAGCGCAAGTACGTAGGGCTATTAAGATGACACACAGTACACATAGCCTTGCCCACTTGAAATGCTAGACAACCACCAAACCATTCAGAATAACTAGCTGAAACGCTCGCGACCTACCTTTCAATGAGAAAGCCCAATAGCGACGTGCTTCTTTAGAGTAATCGTTTTCAAACAAATGTTTATTGCAGTTGTTGTAATGCACCAAAAGTTAGGTTACCGGCGTTGGAACTCAAATCGAACGCGATACATGACAATGTCAGTTAGCACGATAAAACAAATGAGGGTTCATAGGCTTGACAGGTCACGTGCATGTATTTGCTTCTTACCCGCACATTTATCGGTATTGACCCACCTTTCTGGGTAATCCTACGTCGTACACAAAATAGACGACCACATGTGAGCACATTTCACCCACCACTCTTAATCGCCTGTTTCGCGATATTCACACACTGTAAAAAACGACGTAAAAATACGTGCATTTGTGCCACCAAAAGATACGTTACAGCCTCGTTTTTTTGAAAAGATAAGTTTCCATCTTCAACCCGCGCGTGCGCCAGCTTGAGCTTCGGAGGCAGGCAGTTTGAACGTTCGAAGGGAGCGAGCCCAGCGAGGCGAGCCGGCGAGCCTGCGCGCATGCGCTGCCTGCGCTGCCTGCGCTGCCCATCGAGCCAGCCGAGCGGCTGAGCGAGCAGCCGAGCCGCTGAGCATGCGCGCGCTGCGCAGCGACCGCGACCGCGCGACCCTGTTGACCCGGCGAAACCGACGGATGACAATTCAAGTTCGTCGCGCACTTTGCTCGTGGGCTCCAAGTGAAACCAACGCACTTTCAATCGCTTCGAAAGGTACGTATACACGACTTTATTACTTGCAGCATTCAGGGCTTTTGTATACACAGATCAAAGTGAACACCGAAGGACAGGAAGGAGACATGGATGTTTTGAAATCGCAGCTTATTTGAACGCATGTGTCCCCTGTTGAAAGCCTCTGGCTGTGCTCTTTTGCAGGCGTCATTTCGACTGCGTGTACTCCGATGTAACGTCAGTCAGTGTTCACACTCAGCTAGCTTCGCTATCTTATTATCTCATGTGCGAAATATACATAAAACCC